TTCAGCCTGGCTTAGCCCAGGCTGCTGTGGGTATTTGAGGAACAAACCAGTGGATGGACAATCTCAATCTCAATCTCTCTCTCTCTCTGCCTTTCAAGTTAATTAATTAATTAATTAATTAATCTTTCAGAAAACAGATAGTTCCCCCTCCCTGGACAGCTTTCTCCCCTGTGAATAATGTCTGGCTCGGATCGCACTTACCGTGTGACACTCTTAAAACCCTTGCAGAGCTGCCCCTCCCCGTGGGCATCCTGCCGGTACGCCTTTCTCTGCAGTGCGTAGCACTTGTGTAGGCCGCTCACCGGCAGTCAACATAGATGAGCGGTGGCTGTCACTGATCTCTAAGCTGCAGGTCAAGACTGTCCGTTCACCCCCGCCTGACTTAGCGCAGTGCCCTAGATTCAGTGAGCCTCTGATGAATATTTGATATAGAGGTGGGGCTGCTGCTACCGCCACATGAAGGACTTCACACTCACGTTTTATTCTTGAATAGCCGAGGGGCTGCTGGCGTTCCTTACCCTGCTCGTTCTCATTTTGTGTGCTCTCTGATAGTTCTATAATCCCCTCTCGGATCTTACTCTTTTTTTTTTTTTTTTTTTTTACTTTAGAGGTTTTTTTGTTTGTTTGAGAGGCTCCCATCTGCTGCTGCACTTCTTAAATGCCTGCAATAGCTGAGGCTGGGCTCGTGCTGGGCTAGGCTCTCCCACATGGGTAGCAGGGACTCAGCTACTGGAGCCATCTCCTGCTGCCTTCCAGAGTCCACGTTGGCAGGAAGCTGGAACTGGGAGCCGGAGGCAGGCCTGGACCCCAGGTGCTCTGATACGGCACGCAGTTGTCCCAACCAGCATCTTAACCGCGAGACTGGACGTCCATCTGCAGACATCACTGTAGCTTAGCGTCTGTGGGAGCGGTTCAGAGATCTTATTTTTTATAGCTTCTTTATTTGAAAAGCAGAGGAAGAGAAAGATATAAAGATCTTTCAGCCACTGATTCACTCCCCAGATGCCCATAATCGCTGGGGCTGGGCCCTGCTGAAGCCAGGAGCCCAGAGCTCAGTCCAGGTTTCCCACGTGGTGCCAGGAACCCAAGCACTGGAGCCATCATCACCTCCCAGGGTGAGCATTAGCAGGAAGCTGGGCCAGAAGCAGAGACAGGACTTGAACCCAGACGTTCTGATATGGGGTGTGTATATCCCAACAATAGCTGCTTAACCCACTGCCCACAGTGCTGTCTCCCCAGATACTTCCTTCATAGCACAAGGTTCAACCCAGCTTCCCTCCCTTCCCAGTCCTCCCTTGTCTGTTTTTCTTTCTCAAATTTAATTTCCTTACGAAGAAATTAAACGGTCATTTACAAAAGGGCTGGATACCAAGGGCTTCCTGCAGGTACGAAGACTGCTGCTGTCCACCTCCTACAGGCTGGGACCTCCACCCCCTGAGACTACATAAGCCCGTCCCCCAGGCTGTCGCTGCTGTTTGGGGAGGTGCTTTGTACACGGAGAATTCGTACATACTCAGAGTTCCCCTGTGAGGGAGATGTCCTCCCATTCAGTTGATGGGAAAAGTTGCACTCAGGTGGTGAGTAGAGTGCAGATAAAGAGGCACGTTCAAGTCAGGTCAGTGTAGCTCCTGGCTTCACCAGAATAGGAGAATAGACGGAGATGTTCTGGGGACAGGCGTCTGACATAGTGGTTGAGGTGCCGCTTGCAACACCGGCATCTCATATTGGTCTTGAGTCCCAACTCAGCTCCTGACTCCAGCTTCCTGCGCACGCGCCCGCCGGGAGGCAGCAGCCATCGTCCCAAGTACGTGCACGGGTCCTTCCACCCACACTGGAGACCCAGATTGGGTTCCGGGCTCCGAGCTTCAGTCTGGCCCAGCCCTAGCTGTTGTGGACATTCGGGGAGTGAACCGGCAGATGGGAGATCTGTGTCTGAGTGCCTTTCTCTGTCTCTCTGTCATTCAAATAAATAAAAATTAAAAATGTGTCTGTTAGGAGCTCCTCCGAGGGAAGGTGCCGGGGAAAGTTCAGGCTCCCAGGAGAATATCAGTAGGCACGTGTTTGCGCCTTTCTGGGTTCAGTTCCTGAAATCCCTGTGTCCCGGGGGATGCCTCTTGCTCTCTTATCCAGGACTTAGGATTTGCTCAGTGATCAGTGTCCCTCTTGCGAGGAAGGTGTCACTTCACAGGACTGGCAGGGCCTCAGGTGGCCTGGTGGTGGGCACACGGGATGGGCACACACAGCTGGGATGGGGGTGGGACATTACTGTGTTAGACTCAGCTGCAGGACCAGGAAAGTTGGCTTCCGCAGTGCTGAGAGAGCCTGGATGGGAGGGGGCGGCTTAGGAAAGCGGTCAAGCTCACACAGATTTGGCAGGGGGATTCCCCAGTGGCTGTGGTCTCTGCTGGTGAGGTGTGCTCCCCGGGGGGCCTGCAACTTCACTTGCACTTCTGTGATCTTAAAAAAGATTTCCGAAGGCATGACCCATGATGCAGTGCTTTGAGCGGAGAGATGAGCTCCGGCCCTAGTGTGAGACCCGAGGTTGCTACTCCGACCCCACCAGAGAGATTCGGTTAGTGGAGGCTCTGAAAATGCAAAGGTAGGCCCGGTGGGTGTAAAGAAGCCCCAGCACTAGGGTCTGTCCCTGCCAAGTTCACATTGAAGCTGAGCTCCTCCGGGCAGGAGCACCAGCGGTGGGGTGGGGCCAGGGGGTCTTTAAGAGGCAAGGAAGTTGTCAGGAGCCTCTGCCACCTTGCTGCCGGGCTGGGAGTGAGTGCGTTCCCAGCTTGAGGGGATGGATTTGCTCCGGGGAGAGCAGGTGTTCTACAGCGAGGCCGCTCCCCGTGCTCGGCCCCTTCTGCCTGCAGCCGTTCGTTCCGCTTCTGCACCTGAAGTTGAGCAGTGCCTGGCCCTCACCAGAAGCTGGTAGGAACACCAGGCTCCCTTTTTTTTTTTTTGATTGGTGAATTTATTTAAAAGGCATAGTTACTGAGAGTGAGAAGAAGAGAGAGAGAGAGAGGAGACAAAGAACTCTTCCACCAGCTGGTTCACGTCCCAAATGGCCACAACGGCTGAGGCTTGGCCAGGCTGAAACCAGGAGCCTGGAACTCCATCCTCGTCTCCCACATGGGTGCAGAGGCCCACGCACTGGAGCCATCTTCCACCGCTTTCACAGGCACACGAGCAGGGAGCTGTGCCCGATCCGGCGCCCATACGGGATGCCAGTGTTGCAGGCAGTGGCTTAGCCCTCTGCACCCTAATGCCATTGCCCAACACCAGGCTCTTGGATCCCTAGACCTGTGAGTTAAAGGAAGCTCTTTCCCTTACATAGTTCGCAGCCTCACGTATTGTGCTACAGCAGCGCAAAAGGCACTAAGACACACACCATCCACAGCTACAATATGAACATGAAATGTGCTGTAGCGAGGGCAGCTGAGGTCTCAGATTTCAAGAACTTTTTTCTCAGAGGAAAGAGAGACATGAGACGGGGGTTCACGGCGATGGGGGAAGGGTTTTGGTTCTGCACCAGAGGAGCCAAGAGCTGCTTGCGAGGGACCAGTGCAGCAGCAGAGCTTGGGAATGTGAGTAGATGTAAAATGTCTGTTTCAGCCCAGACCGGGTCAGCTCTGGGTGGAACGCCGGCACATACACTCACAGAGCATTTTGAAAATTGCATTGCATTATGCCTGGGAACAAAGAGGAAGGGCGCTTTAGGAGGGAGGGGGCCCCACTTTCTCTGAGATGGAGAAAGGGAGTGGGATCAGTGAGGGAAACCACGTGGCTATTGTGAGTGGAGAAGAGGCTGCGGAGGAGGGAGGACCCCACCGGCCAGGCTGGCCAGGACCAGCACACGGCTATGGAGGTGGAGGCAGGCGAGGTCGCTGCTCCCAGCGGGGGCGGCAACCCAGTGCAATGGAAAGCAGCTGTGGGGGAAGGAAGTCTTCTGAGTGAGCGGCGAGGACCCCGGGTGAAGAGTGGCCGGGGTCAGTACTACTTAGGGGCACAGTCCCTAGAGGTGGTAAAAAATGAAATCCGGTAGTGTATGTGATACTTAGAATGAGCACCTGGCACGTTGGTAACCACAGTGAGCACCAGCTGCTCTTACTCCATTGTGATGTAACTTGTCCTAGAATTTTGGGATTTTTCTTAAAGAAACATGAAGTCACTTGGGACAGCGAAAGGTAGGTCATGATGTGAGGAGCAGCCTGAGGCTGAAGACTGGTCCCGCTCGCACTGTGTGAGGACGGGGGCGGTGGGGTCTGGGCTCCTAACTCAGCTGGGGGTGTGGGAAAGCCCGATAGAAAAAGCGTGAGGCCTCCAGATGTGAGCTGTAAGCCAATGAAATGCTCAGGGCGGTGAGGTGAACCCAAAATGCTCCCACGTGTTGCAGCTACACAATACACATTCATTCTGTTCCTTCGACAGCATTTAAAAATGTTATTTAAAAATTTTTCTTTTATTTGAAAGACATAGAGACACAGAGAGTGACCAAGAGAGATCTTCCATCTGCAAACTCACTCCCCTGTGCCCACTGTATCCAGGGTTAGGCCAGGCCAAAGACAGGAACCTGGGTCTCCCACACGGGAGGTAAGTGAGGACTACGTGCTCAAGCCATTACCTCTGCCTTGCAGAGTGTGCATTTGTTAGCAGGAAACTGGATCAGTGCTGAAAGCGGGACTCAAGCCCTGCACTTCGCTGTGGGATGCAGGTGTCCCAAGCGGTAGCCTAACTGCTGTGTTACAGTGCCCACCCTCACAATGTTTCCTGAGCTCCTACTTTCTGCTAGTCACTTGTCTAGTGCCAAGGGTACAGCAGTGAGCAAAATAGACTTTCCTTTCCCCATGGTAACTGAATTCTAGTGGGAGCACCTGCTCCCAAAAGTTCATTGTCCATCCATACCCTAAACTCCTTCCTTACATATTGTCAGTCTTCCCAGTGAACCAGTTAGTATGTATATTACTTCATTTTCTGTTGCTGTAACAAAATACTTGAGTCGAGGTACTTTATAAAAAGGTTTGTTTAATAGCATGGCACTGGTCTCTTGAAGGGTCCCCGGCAGCCGCAGGGAAAGGGAACTGGTGACATATGGAAGGGGTCAAGTGCATGGGGTGCCCTTGGTTTCTAACAGTTGGATCTTGCAAGGTCAGTGCTGTGAGAGCAGCGTGAATGAGTCCATGACTGCTTACACCAGGCCCCACCACAAGGGTTCCACTCCCTCAACAGTCACCATACTTGGAGACCAAGCTCCCAGCCCATGAGCCTCTGGGAAACACCCTCAAACCGTAGCAGCTGATATTATTAAATCCATCTTCAGAGAAAGAAACTGTTTTGTCCCAAACCTAAGAGCTGGAAAAAAGGAAAAAGCATGTTTTCAGCACAGACGTGATTCTAAGTTCATCATCTGTAGCTGCTTTGTGTTTTAGCTCTGCAGTACTGAATAAGTTTGGTAAAGCAATCTTAGGAAGGAAGGGGCTTATGACTTGTAAGGCTGGGATGTTTTGCCCTTCCCGTGGGCATGGAACTCCCCAAGAATGCTGGGAGAGGATGCGGTACGGAGGGAAACTTGGTACTGAAGACCTGGAAGCAGGTGGAAGTGTGCTGTGAAAGTAGAATAAGATGCAGGGTGGACTTTGAAGGACCTGAGGTGGGTGGCAGAGCCCTGAAGTGGAGGAGCAGCCCCAGTTTGCAGGAAGATTGCTGCTGTTTGCATGTTAAGTGCTTCCCCAAAGGCCCATGTGGTAAAAGGCTTGGTCCCCAGGGAGTGCTGCAAGGGATGATGGCTTCTTTAGGACTTGAGGCCTAGTGGGAGGTCCTTGGGTCAGTGGAGGCACTGACCTTGGGAGGTCGTTCTCAGGAGAAGGTTGCTATGAGAGGCTGACTTTGGCCCTACCCCCGTCTGCCTTCCGACTCTCCGTGTGATCTTTGCTCTGCGTGTGCTCCACCGGCCACCACGGGCCCCACACCAGAGCTAAAGCCTGCACCCTACCTTTTGGACTTTTGTGAGTGAAATAAACCTTTTTTCTTAATTAGTTGCCTCAGGGATTCCATTAGAGTGACAAAAAGCTGATAGGAAGGCCAATTGCTTGCCCCTTCTGCTCCGTGAGGAAGGCATGGGAGGAGTCATGCCCTTCACTGAGCCTCTGGGGAGAGCCCGGTGTGGTGCACCCCAGTCACCTTTCAGAGGCAGTAGACAGGAGGACGGAGGGCTGGCCGGGAGAAGGATTGAGTTTCCGCGTGTGGTGAGAGGAGCGAGGCAGTTGAGACGCAGGCTGCAGGGGCGTGCCTAGAACCTTCCGAGAGGGAGTTGAAGGGCTGTGTGCCACATTCCGAGGGGAGTGTCAGAGCAGGAGAGTCCAACTGCACACCTCCCTGCCTCGGGGTGTGCTACTCTTAAATGGCCTCCTCTCTGCCTTTGCTGCTTTGGGAAGGAGGCTCCGCAGCCCCACGACTTTCCTGGAGAACCTCTAGTTGCTGGCCCGCTCGCTAAATGCAGAGGTATTTGTGATCACCCGGCTGGGAGGAGCAAGGATAGCACCAGGTATTGCACAGTTACGCCACCTCTTTGTGAGCTTGCCGGGAGCCTAGGGTGATGTCCAGTCCCTGATTATTACAACCATGCTGTGTTCCGTTTCTGAAACCCCAGATTATCCAGCTGTAGGGGACTGAAGACCTGGAGACTGTTCCCCCAGAATGTAAGTTAGAGATTTCATCATCTGTCTTTCAAAGTAATCAACTACGTTTCTTTCAACTAAAACTTACGCTTCTTTTTGACTGAAACTCAGGCTTCTTCAGACTTAGGTTTTCAAAAGTGATTATGAGTTCTGGGAGGACAGGGGAGGGGCTCACTGCCGTTAGACCAAACAGGCCTAGACGCCCAGGATAGACATACACGGGAATGAAGAATTGGGTTTGTTACAAGGCACATGCTGAGTGAGGGAGTCTGGGGTGAGGTCGAGACGCTGTGCGTTTAGCAGGCTCCCAGGTGGTGCACGTGGGGCTGGGGTGCGTCCAGGTCTTGAACAGAAAGGCCTTACACTGTAACCAGCTGGAAGGCAGCTTCCAAAGAGACATTGGTTTTGAGGGAAGAAGGGTGTTAGGCAATCTGAAGATGAAGTGAGATGACGGCAAAACGTGCCAGAATTTGCGGTGCAGATCATAATAAAACTCAGGGAAAATCATGGGTCATCTCTGAGTCTCATTTTGTTCTCCTAAAAAATATAGAGATAATAATATCCACCTTGGTTGACCAACTATATGGGTTGTGAGGATTAAATGGAAGTGTTGCCATGTATGTAAGTATTGTTATTGTTACTGTGTTATTTGGTGTTCAGAACCTTACTAATTGCTCCTATTTCCAATGCTTTTATTTATTTACTTATTTAAATAGATGGATGATTGATAGCATTGATGAGTGTTTGCTGTTTACTTGACACTGCATTAAGCACGGTAAAGACTGGTTTACTACTGACAACTATAGTAATAATAGAAATACGAGTAATATTAACAGGACTAATGTTGTGAGTATGGAGGCTAGGCTGTGAACTCAGCCTTCCTCTCCACAATGCAAGCTTTTCTCACTGTCGGGCTAGATCCTTGTGTGAGTGCCTATAAAAAATGAGGATGAGACATTTCTCTTCATGTTACAGGAACTGGATGAGAAAGTATGTGAAAACCCCCTGTAGTCTGTTAGAGCCAAATGTAAGCCATCGTTCAGATTCTAATTGTCATTTGCAGTGTGAGGAAGGGTGTGGAGGAAGAATGTATGTGGGCGCTTGCATTGCAAGAAGCTGACTTTCTTGTAGATCATGCATGGGGAAGCCATTGAGATGGCAGAGGGCTTCCAAAACAGGGAAATTTTATTACTTGTTTCACATTCCAGTGTTCGGGCAGGAGAGACCCAGAATAAGGCAGATCTCAGCATCCGTTCACCTTCCGGAGCTCGTGATTGCCTTAATGATGCCCAGTGCCTACCAGGAGACACACAAAGCCATCAGACAGGAGCTGGGGTGGAGCTGGGCACGTCACAGTCTCCTTCCAGAAGGAGAGCCCAGGTTTAGTCTTCTTTGTCCCATTCAAAGCTGATGGAGCTGCTTTAAACTTTGTTGCAGCTTCTCCATCACCCACCTCCACTGTGGGTAAGCACACAGGTCAGTCCTGCTGCAGGGTGGCTGACCAGGTCCTGGGTTGCCCATGTGGCTCTGCTGTCTGTCTAGTTCCTGGTGCTTCCCTCCTATCTCCCCAGTCCTATCTCCCTGTTCCTAATCCCTGCCGTCTGTCATCCTTCCAGGAAAATCCCTTCCATCATTTCTCTTCCCTGTAGTCCACTCGGGGCCCTGAGGGCTAGGCCACCCTCCAGTTCCAGCCCAGTCTATTGCTGTCATTCATCTGAGTAGACCGAGACATCTTCTTCCTGTTAGGCACTGGGTGCAGTCCTTCCGATTTCTGACAGTAAGTAGCAGTTAGGTTTTGTGTGTGCCTGGAGCCTGCCTGCACCTCTCTCCCTCTCGCTGTTTCCTTTCCCTTTTATTTTTCCTCACTTCTCAAGGACTCTCAGCACCCACTCGTCTGCTCTCTGGTTAATGCTTGCTTGCCTGCCTGGAGTGAGGGTTCCCATTCTTGCGTGCTGATGCTGGTGTATGTGTTGCTTGAACAAAACCTTTACTAAAAGCAAATTAAACATCTTCCCCTAAGTATTTACAGTCTGTGCTATATACACCTTGAAGCGGCAATTCACATTGTCTTTGCTAGGAATAGGTTGATCATTGCAGTTTGACAGGCAGAGTGGACAGAGAGAGAGAGACAGAGAGAAAGGTCTTCCTTTGCCGTTGGTTCACCCTCCAGTGGCCGCCGCGGCCAGCGCGCTGCAACCAGCGCACCGTGCTGATCCGATGGCAGGAGCCAGGTACTTATCCTGGTCTCCCATGGGGTGCAGGGCCCAAGCACTTGGGCCATCCTCCACTACACTCCCTGGCCATAGCAGAGAGCTGGCCTGGAAGAGGGGCAACCGGGACAGAATCTGGCGCCCCGACCGGGACTAGAACCTGGTGTGCCGGCGCCGCTAGGCGGAGGATTAGCCTATTGAGCCGCAGCGCCGGCCGCAATTCACTCTTAAGGAAGTATCCTGTATCATGTGAGATGCACTGAAAGTTACTACACAAGCTTGCTGATTATGGTGTTATTGATCCTAACAAACAGTTAGAAATAGCCTGGTTGTCAGCAGTGGGAAAAGAGTAACACAAATGTCAAATTTAGAAACAAGCAGGAAAAGATTGGCAGTGGTGAAGTGCAGATTTCCTTGTAAGTTATCTCTGGTTATTTCATAGAGTACCAGTGATTTTATTTTCTTCTGTTTTTTCCATTTTTCACAATGTTCATATTGTTATATAATCAGCAAGAGGCTTTAAAAATGAAGCTTACACACACACATACACACAAGCTGACTGTTGAGTATTCCTCTCTGATCTTCCAGTTCAAGGATTGGCAGTGCCCCTGCAGCCTCACATGTGAGATGTGTCCTTGGGGACAGCCACACACAAGTCCTTCCTGTGTCTGTCTGAGCAGGGAAACCCTAGAGGTTACTCCGGGGCCCCTCAGACAGAATAGCCATTTTGGAAAGGAAGGGGTTTGGGTCAAACTCCCTGGAGGGGGCGAAGTTAGCTTGAAGTGAGCAGAGAGGGTGTAGTGGCCAGTCCTGCCGTCAGACCCCTCTTGTCACCCTTGTCCTCGCAGTGCTAAGGAAATGGCTCTCTCGCCCACAAATCTGAAGGACGAGACGTCTCTGCCGAGGCAGACAGACGAGAAGGAGCAGCTGCTGACTGAGGGGATCGGAGGCTCTCTCCAGAAACACGACGCAGCCGAGGGTGCAGCACAGTAAGTCGGGGCGAGCTCCCGACGGCAGCGTCTGGGGGCCCGTCCGGAGACTTCCGCAGGCCAGTGGGATCAGCCCATGAGGTTGGCAAGTTCAGGGTGTGAGCCGACATCCTTCCCTGCAGGTCACCCAGTTTTGGTCCCGGGAGTGTTTTCTGTAGTGAGCAACCGCGTGGGATACTAACGAAGGCTGTGATCCAGGGAATAGTCAGTCAGCAGGTGACGAGCAGTTGTCAAGACTCTAATCTCTCTTTGGGGAAATTGATTGCTTAGTGGCTTCCAGATCTTCACTCGCTAAAGATTTAAAGGGCTTTAAATACTTCTGGAGGAGAGGGAAATGCCAGGAAATAGTTAAAGCTTACTTCTGATGGGCACCTTGGCAGGCAGCAAGTGGTTGGCTCCCTGCTCCCACGTGAGAGAGCAGGACTGAGCTCCCAGTTGCTGGCCGCAGCCCAGCCCAGCCCAACCCTGACAATTGAGGGCACGTGGGGAGTGAACCAATAGAGGGAAGATCTCTCTGTCCGTCTGTGTCTCTCTGTCTCTCTGCCTCTTAAATAAAAACGATTCAGTGAATAATAACAGCCTGTTTCTGGACTGTGTGGCTTGCAGTTTGCTCAGCGAAATGACCAAAATGGACCACTTCTTGGGCAGATCAGATGATGAGGACGTTTTCTCTGAAGATCCTCACCCAGACGTCCCTCCCGAGGGCAACAGGAAGACATGGGTAAGAGAAGCCCTTGAATGTCGGAGTGCATGAAAAGAGCCGTGGGATTCCTCCTCCGGCGGGCAGGGTGGCCAGGTTCCCACGGGACACTGCCCTTCCCGCACGAGGGACTTCAACAGCCTCCGCATGGGAACAGTGTGCATCGTGCTATCATTGGCCTTGGGCATTCACCAAGTAATTGATATTATTTGTCTTAGAGCACATTGCTCTCCGTAAAATCGCCCCTGGCCTGCATATTGCCTTCCAGTAGAATTCGTCTGTTTACCCATAATCCAGTCTGCACGTCTCGTGGCTCGGCCATCACTGGCTGGGGCTGCGTAACTCCAGGCTCCGCCCCGTCTTCGCCCAGCCTTCTCCTCTCTGCCTGTGTCTTCTGTCTCTCAGTTAGGTTATTAGTCCCTGGCATTAGGACCCATCACGTAATCCAGGATGATCTTACCCCAAGATCTTTAATTACGTTGGTAAAGACTCTTTCCAGACTCACACACACATTCACGAGGTCCTAGCCTTGGGACATAGGTGGATCTTGGGGAGGCCTTGAGCCCACCAGACTGTACGACCTTGGACAAATCATAAACTATGAAAGGTAGGGCTTCAGTGCCTGCCTGTACCTCCAGTCCATCCTGAGAATGAGAGGCACCATGCACGTGAGAGCAGTCTGTAGTCTGTGGAGGTGAGGTGCTCACGGCGGCTCAGCCAGTAGTGTACAGGGGTATTTCCACAGGAGCCTGATCGGTTCTCCTTCCTCCAGACTTCCTGCCTACAATTCTTCTCTTTTTTTGACAGGCAGAGTGGACAGAGAGACAGAGAGACAGAGAGAAAGGTCTTCCTTTGCCGTTGGTTCACCCTCCAATGGCCGCCGCGGCCGGTGCGCTGCGGCTGGCGCACCACGCTGATCTGATGGCTGGAGCCAGGTGCTTCTCCTGGTCTCCCATGGGGTGCAGGGCCCAAGCACCTGGGCCATCCTCCACTGCACTCCCTGGCCACAGCAGAGAGCTGGCCTGGAAGAGGGGCAACCGGGACAGAATCCGGCACCCCGACCGGGACTAGAACCAGGTGTGCCGGCGCCGCAAGGCGGAGGATTAGCCTAGTGAGCCGCGGCGCCGGCCTCCTGCCTACAATTTAAAAACGGTTTGGCTGAAACACAGAAATGCCTGATCAAACTTCTTCACAGAAAAGAAGAATTATCTCTCAGTGCACTTACTACAGAGTTTTAAGATAAATGATTGCTAATGTTACAGGCATAGAAATACCAGAGAAGACCAAAAAATAGCAGAAAATGCTTTGAATGTTTTTCCTAAACAAGGCAAAGCATAAAGAAACAAAGATGGAAACATTCCGTGTCAAACTCGTAAACTGTCCACTGAGCTCTTTGATTCGAAGAAATGTAAATGAAAAGAGAATTTAGAGGAATTCTGCAATGATCAACCTATTCCTAGGTGCAGAGTTAAACATTGTTAGCCCTTGTCATATTTCTGTTATCGCTTTTCTTGTAAATGGAACATTCTGAGCCATTTCCAAGTAGGTCAGACGCTCCAGGACACTTCTCTGCTTCAGAAAGTGTCTCTAAAAATACTTTCTTCTACATGTGCAAAATACCATCACCATGTCTCAGAAATTTAGCAGTAATTTCTCTTTTTGGGGGATTATTTATTTTGAAAGTCAAGATGACAGAGAGAGGGAGAGACAGAGACAAAGATCTCCTATCCCCTGGTTCACTCCCAGGATGGCTGCAATGGCCAGGGCTGAGCCAGGTTGAAACCAGGAGCCAGGAGCTTCCTCCAGGTCTCCCACATGAGTGCAGGGGCCCAAGCACTTGGGCCATCGTCTGCTGCTTTTCCCAGGCACGTTGGCAGGAAGTGGGATCGGAAATGGAGCATCCAGTACTCGAATGGGATGCCAACATCGCAAGCAGCAGCTTTACCAGAGTGCTGGTACGGCCCAGCAGTAATTTCATAGTGTGATCTAATATCCTCAGTCCTCCCACTATTCTGATTTCCTCGGTTGTCCCCCAGGAAGACTTTTAGAGCTGAATTTTTTTTAACCAGCATCCAAACAAGATGTATACAACACATACAGTTGTTTTATTTATTTAGATTCTTTTTATTTTATTTTATTTTTTACAGGAAGAGTGGACAGCGAGAGAGAGAGACAGACAGAGAGAAAGGTCTTACTTTTGCTGTTGGTTCACCCTCCAATGGCCGCCACGGCCGGCGCGCTGCGGCTGGCGCACCGCGCTGATCCGATGGCAGGAGCCAGGTGCTTCTCCTGGTCTCCCATGGGGTGCAGGGCCCAAGCACTTGGGCCACCCTCCACTGCACTCCCGGGCCACAGCAGAGAGCTGGCCTGGAAGAGGGGCAACCGGGACAGAATCTGGCACCCCGACCGGGACTAGAACCCGGTGTGCCGGCGCCGCAAGGCGGAGGATTAGCCTATTGAGCCGCGGCGCTGGCCAATTTAGATTCTTAACATAGACCAGTTTTTCCCCCTTTTCATCCTTCAGAACAGGGATTTCTTTGAAAAGACCAGAACAGTCATGGAGTCCGGAGTCCGTGGTCAGGTGGGATTCCATTCCTCACGAGCACCACCTGTAGGTGGACACCGAGGTCCCCCGTCCCTCCCTCAGCCCTCTGGGCCAGGAAAGGAGCAAGCCTCGTGTCTGCTGCCCTTGGCAGTGCAGCAGGTGCCAGGCTCCGAGTGCGGCGTGCGCGCTCCCAGAGCAGGGCTCGGGTCAGGCCAGCAGAACAGCACCTGTTGGTTGACTCTCAGATACAACTCACTTGTTCTGCTCTGCTTCCTTCATCGTCTGTCTCAGGACGCGGCGGAGCTGGGAGCTGAGCACGCCCGGGCCCCCCCGAGGGGGCAGGAGGAGCAGGAAGCAGACCTCGCTGACGAGGACCCTCAGGCATCCACATCTTTGCAGTTTTCAGAGAACTTCGCAGAAATGTAAGCCTGGACAGGTGCTAGAGGGAGTATCTAATAATGTTGTAGGGAAGGGAGGAGGAATTGTGCCAGAGAATCTGGACTGTAGAAACATTCAAACTCCACGCACATGTTGGAGCATAAAGCTCAGCGAAATGACCAAACTGGACCACTTCTTGGGCAGATCGGATGATGAGGACGTGTGTGGGGGCAGCTACCTGCCCATTCCAGCAAGGAGGCACACTGAGGCTTCTCTAGCAATGCAGGCAGCGCTGTGAAATTCTCTTTGCAGACTTGGAGAGATTGGAACTACTGTTATCTCAGCATTCTCAGATAATTTTCTAGATACAAGAATTTTTGTCATTATCATTAGAAGTATACTATTGAGCCCTATGGCCCTTTCCCTGTTACAAAAAAAAAGAAAAGAAAATTGTGGAAAATGGAATTAAAAGTATTTTGGTGCAAAATAATTCTGAAATCCACACATAATGGAAGTCTTCAGAGAATTCACAGAAAACATATGTTATGGAAAAAAAAAACTATATATGGATTTAAAGACATGTGTAGTACCAAATAAACTTACCTTTTAATTCTGTTTTGCCATGAATCTTTGGAAGTACCCTCATCTACCTTTCCTAGCCCCCAAGATGGAGCCACACTCCTGAGTCACTGTGTAACATTCATCCCATATGTAAGGGAATTAGAAATAGACCTATATATATATTTTTTTTTACTAAGTGTCAAATAATGCTTTTAAAATCTACCTTTTGGAAGACCTATAAAAATGGATCTCACATGCCCAAACTTCTTTTCTTGAGGTCTGAGTGCCCACTGGCCAATTTTGGGATAGGACACGGATAAACAGACCAACCTGGCATTCAGTGGGAGAGACTTGGGGCTGTGCGAGGTGTTGCACCACTTCGCCTGCCAGCGATCACACTGATATTTCCACAGGAGCCGGGAGAACATGTTCCGCAAGCTGAACTACTGGAGTGCAAAGATGGGCCTGCAAGTGAGAGAGCTCGGGGCCGATCACGTTGACTGGGTGGAGAAAATCAACAACATCATCCAAAAAATAAACCTAACAGAAAACACAGTGAAGAGGTAGGTGCAGGGTGCTGGGGACGGTTGAAAAACAGTGGAAAGTTTCGTGGTCCCAAACACTGAGAGAACGCTGGGTAAGGGTAAGCATTTGGCATGGCAGGTAACGATGCTGTCTGGGATGCCCCCGTTCCATGTCAGGGTACCTGGTTCAAGTCCTGGCTCTGCCGCTGGGCGAAATGTCTGTGCACATTTTCTCCTCATTTTCCAGTTGAGCACTTTGATTTGTAATGCTGAGTTTTCAGAGATTTTTATACTATGTAGAGAACTTGGCCAGATTTGGAGTATGCAAATATTTCCCCCGGTGTATCATTTGTCTTTTCAGCTATTTGATAGCCTTTGGCTCCACAAAAATATTTAATTTTGATGACATTCAATTATCAATTTTGCCTGTTACAGATTGTGCAGTTGATATCAAGTTTTAGAATTCTGCCTAGTCCTAGGTTCCAAGTATTTTTGTAATTTTTAGGAGAAATTTCGTAATTTTTTGAAATATCATACTATTTTAATTTAACTTTATTTTCATTTTATTTGAAAGGCAAAGAAAGAGGGAGAGACAGAGAGGAAAGAGATCTTTCAGTAGAGAAATTTGCTCCCTAAATAGGTGCAACAGCTGGGGCTGGGTCAGACCAAAACCAGGAGCCAGGAACTCCATCCAGGTCTCACATGTGGGTTCAGGGACCCAAGTATTTGAGCCATCATCTGCTGCCCCCCAGGGTATGAATTAGCAGGAAGCTAGAAATGGAAGCAGGGGGCCAGCGCTGTGGCGCAGCAGGTTAAAGCCCTGGCCTAAAGCGCCAGCATCCCATATGGGCGCCGGTTCGAGTTCCAGCTGCTCCACTTCTGATCCAGCTGTCTGCTATGGCCTGGGAAAGCAGTGTAAGATGGCCCAAGTGCTTGGGCCCCTGCACCTGTGCGGAAGACCTAGAAGAAGCTCCTGGCTTCTGGCTTCTGATCAGCTCAGCTCTAGCTGTTGCAGCCATTGGAGAGTGAACCAGTAGATGGAAGACCTCTCTCTCTCTCTCTCTCTCTCTCTACCTCTCTCTATAACTCTATCTTTCAAATAAATAAAATAATTCTTTAAAAAAGGAGAGAGAAATGGAAGCAGAGGCACTAGGACGTAAACAAGGCACTCTAGTGTAGGACGCAAGAGTCCTAAGCAGTAACTTAACCACTGTGACAAATACCCACCCAGTAACTTTCCACTTTAAGCATTTTAATTTTCAGCTTCTGAATCCACTTAGGCCTATTGTCACATCTCTTTAATATTATATAGATTGCACAGCATGCTTTTTACTTTCTTGAATTTCAGTTATGACTTCTCTCATTCTAGTATGCCCAAGTGTCCTTTGTCTGTAGTAACAGTATTTGGTTTTTTTAGAAAACTATTTATTTGAAAGGCAGAGCATCAGAGAGAGAAGGAGGGAAGGGAAGAGAAAGGAAGGGGGAGAGAAGGGGAGAGGTGGGGAGGGGAGGGGAGGGAAGGGGAAGGAGAAGGGAAGAGAGGGGAGGGTAGGTGGGGAGAAGGGGAGGGGAGGGAAGGGAAGGGAAGAGTTAGTTTTCATCTACTGACTCACTCCTCAAATGGCCTCAACAGCCAGGGCTGAGTCAGGCCAAAGTCAGGGTCCAGGAGCCAGGATCTGGGCCTCCCCCATGGGTAGCAGCGATCCAAGCAATTGAACCATCATCTGTTGCCTACCCAGGCCGTTAGCAGGAAGCTGAATCAGAAGCAGAGCAGCCGGGACTCGAACTGGCACTCCAGTATGGGTTGTCGGTGCCACAGTGCCAGCCTCAGCATTTGATTTATGGAAGTCAAAGTATCTCCTTTATTTTGTGATTTTTTTCTTGGTAATTAAATTTGTATTTACGTTCATTGTATTTGAAAGGTGTGTGTGTGCACACACATACAGAGAGAGAGAGAGAGAGAGAGAACTTCCACTTGCTGGTTCACTCAACAGCCAGGACTGGGCCAGGTCGAAGACAGGAACCTGGAACCCAGCCTGGGTCTCCCACATGGGTGGCAGGGACCCAAACACGTGAGCCATCACCTGCTGCCTCTCAGGGTTCACATTAGCAGGAAACTGGGATTAGGAGTGGAGCCAGGACTTGAACCCAGACATTCGGGTATGGATGCAGGCATCCTGAGTGATGCATAGCTGCTGCACCACACACCTGCCCCCGGGTGGCTTTTCTTATTCTGTAGGACTTAGTCCAACGCTTGGCCTGTTTGCAGCTTATTGAAGGAGGTGATGTTCCTGGAGGGTCAGACTGAGAAGGTGGAGGACCAGGACCTCGACCCTAACCAGGGAGCCAACATCGAGGTGAGCTGGAGGCTCGGGAAGGCCCATCTGGAGGTCAGGGACTTCTGCCGCCTCTTCCCACCCCTTGTGCTGCTTAGCGGGCAGGCGCAAGAAGCAGGCCCCATCTCTGTGCTTGCCGGTGGTCACTTGTGCGTGCGCTTCTGCTGGGCCACACCATTCTCATCTCTGATGACACAGAGAGCCCAGATGTTTCTGGTTTTCCTAGAAACTTGGAGCCACAAACAGGGTAGGTTTTTATCTTGAGAAGTTGTTTTCTTAATCTTTGTGTCCTGGCACGCAACAGTACAGAGAGGCCATGCAGATAATAAAGACTTGTCAGGAATTGCGTGCTTCGATTGCAGAGGTCTGCGTTTGCCCCAGTGCCTTCAGGGAGAGCTGTCTGCTGGTTCCCACGTTCTGCTCTTCCCCCACTGTTTCATCTGCTTGGATTTCTTGGAATCTTCTCCTCAGCACAGAGTTTAATTTTCCATTTTTTATTTGAACTGAGATAGTGATTGCTGAGGTTTGAACAGGGTTTGGCTGCAGAAGTCACGATGCCAGTGCAAATCGCAAAGTCAAAGGTTAACGGAGCTACGCGAGCGGGACAGTCCGATCATCGGCACGAGAGGTGGGCCTTGCCAGAGCTTCCGGGTGTGGGAGTGTACCCTGGGACTGCAGCTCTCGGGAGAGGCTTGGCTGCACAAGCCACGTGGGAATCCGCCACGCTGTGTGCTTCCTGGGTCACCACGTGGTTGTTCCTCCACATTCTCTGTGCCATGGTCGTCTTACAGCCTCTCCAGAGGCTGTGCACATGGGGCTGGCCAGATCCTGGACTGGGAGCTTTCCAAACTGTGAGCCAGAATAAACCTCCTTCTCCCACAGGTAGCTCACCTTCCATATGCTGTTGGAGTAATGGGAGACCAACTAGCACAGCGGTCAGCGCTGGGTGAGAATTAGACTTCACATTGCCGGTTAATAGGTTTGCTGCTCTACTGTAGATCAAGCCTTGGACAATGAGTCAGCAAAATAAGAAAACCCTCTCTGGCTACTTCGTTTTATTGAAATTGGCAGCCTCAGCCCCAGCCCAAGCCCAGGAGTTTGAATTAAACAGGTTTTGTAAGAAGTTAAAGGAGAAATATCTCTGTGCTTGTGGGAAGATAATGTTTCTATTTAGACCCTTCACATATGAAAAGTCATCCGTAGCACAGCACGGATTTATCAGCCTGGGGCAAAATTACTTTTAAGCAGGATTGAGTCTCTTGTTTTGAGTCGCAGTCTCATCTTGGGCTAGTTGAAAAGAAGTTCTCGTTTTTTTGTTTTTACTGTCCTTGCGCTTTGGAAATTGCAAGCTATGCACAAGGGGGACAGGTAGAGGCTGACACATTCTGCTTTAGAAAATGCACTCCCAGGTCAGCGGTGTGCATCTCAGGATGGTGGATTTCAGCAGGAGGCAGGTGGGGCTGGATGCACGTCAGACAGCTGATGGGGAGAGACCAAGCTAGACTTGGAAGAGAAGAGGATCCTGGGATCACACTGGAGGGGAACAAGAGGTCTGTACGTGCATGCGTGGGAATTCTCTGGGCTGGAGAGCCCATGGCTTTGTATATCTTTTCAAAACCAAACGAAAAACAGGCACGAGCTTAAAAACCAACAACGTCCCAAATAGCACCCTTGGGTGTGGGGATGAACTATAGGACGTGTGTGCGCTGGAGCACTACTGGACAGAGAAGAGGAACAAACCTCTGACTCACCCACCCACACGGATGCATCTCAAACGCACCGCGCTAAGTGAGAGGCGACTCGGATGACCCGTGCTCTCTGGTGCAACAGCAAAGAGACAAAGCAGTAGGAACAGAATGTAGCTTGGTGGTCGCCAGGGTCGAGTGGAGAGAGGAGGAGGGAGCTGGCAAAGGGGCACAAGGGAATTCAGGGAGATGGAGATACTGTACATTTGGTGGACGTGATTGCATGACGGAGTGCGCCTGTCCGCTTTAGGAGCTGAGTTTTGCTGTAGGTAAATTAGACCTCGATGGATGTGTCTCCCAAAACAATAGCGTAAGTTCTGTCCTCAAGCCTGCTGAACAGTGGGAAAGCCTACACAGAAGTAAAGGCAATCCTTAATATGAATAAGAAACCAGAAGTGTAACTGTTGCAGAAGCAAAGTTGTAGGAATGGCTGTGGCTTTACTCTGGTGTGAGGAAACATGAAGATGGTTAGAAACAGATATAGAAACAGCTAAGAAAACTGTGGCAGAATTAAATAAGTGAAAGTAGTATCATATGCATTGATCATTTATTCCTCACGAAGAAATGGAGTGACTAAAAATAGCTCCAAAAGGAAAGGAGGAAGAACTGTAAAGTCATTTTTTATTTTTGAAGATTTATTTATTTGAAAGGCAGAGTGACAGAGAGGGGGAGAGAGAGAGAGAGACCTTCCATTTGCCCCCCAAATGGCTGCCGCTGCTGGGGACTGCACCAGGCCAAAGCCTGGACCGTGGAGCTTGAGCCATCTGGATCTCCCCCATGGGTAGCAGTGGTCCAACAATGTGGCCATCCTCTGCTGCCTTCCCAGGTGCGTCAGGAGACAGCTGGGTCACATGCAAAGCTGTGGGGACTCAATTCAGTGCTCTGACGAGGAATGCCAGTGTTGCGAACAGTGCCTTGACCTGTTGCACCACAACACTGGTCGCATAAAATTTTTTTTTTTTAAAAGCAAGGGCCGGTGCCGTGGCTCACTTAGTTAATCCTCTGCCCGCAGCACCGGCATCCCATATGGGTGCCAGGTTCTAGTCCCGGTTGCTCCACTTCCAGTCCAGCTCTGTGCTGTGACCCGGGAGGGCAGTGGAGGATGGCCCAAGTGCTTGGGCCCTGCACCCCATGGGAGACCAGGAGGAAGCACCTGGCTCCTGGCTTCGGATCAGCATAGCTCCGGCCATGGCAGCCATTTGGGGAGTGAACCAATGGAGGGAAGACCTTTCTCTCTGTCTCTCTCACTGTCTAACTCTAGCTGTCAAAAAAAAAAAAAAAAAAAAAAAAAAAAGCAAAAGTCAAACAAAGAGCTATTTTAAAAGCCTATAGAAAGGACTTTGAGGCAGCCTTTGGGTGATGCTGACACCGAGTCCCCAGGGCTGGGAAGCTTCCTGAGGTCGCCGTGGGAACGCGTAGACATGTATTCTCAGCCAGATCTATTCCCGTTCTCTTGGATGGTCACCTTTGACAGGTGCTGTATAAAGAACTGTGTCTGTAAACTGAGACGCAGATAAAATGTGACAGTCATAGCCCAGCTCTTTCTAAATAAGGAACGCCGCACAATTCAGGGGCTGGTGATGAATCGATTTGGCGAGAGTTACATGCAGACTCTGCACTCTCCAGTTAACCATAAGCCAGTGGAGGACACCGGTGCCAGTGCTGCACTTCACCCGGCCGGCACAATGCCTTGACAGTGGCCGCTGACGCAGGATGTGGCCAGCAACAGTTTGTTGATTAAATTTGGAGACTAGCACCCCGAAGAGTAAGAGGACAAAAACCAGCTTCTGTTAATTCTGAAATGTGTTGCTCACGAGCGTGTTTGCTTTGTTTCAATTCCACACATCATTCGTGTTGACTCTTGTATTCTATTCTTTTGTTCTATAGGCAAAGATCATGGAAATTAGAAAACAGTTGGAAGAAATGGATAAGAAATTTGCCCAGGTAATGATAAAGTAGCTTGACAAGCTAAGGAGGAAAAGCAGTCCTACAAAGCAATCTCAGGTTTAGAGAACACCATAGAAGGCCGGACACGCTCAGAAGTGTCGCTCACTTCTGAGAAGTAAGAAGGGAACTTAGTCTCAGCGGGTGATGGCTCAAGTGGTTGAATCTCCACACCGTGGAGTTCCTTGCCCCTGGCTTTGGCGCCAGCTGTTGTGGCATGCGGACAGTGAACCTGTGGAAGGATGTTTGCTCGCTTTCTGCCTGTGTTTCCTTCTCTGTCTCTGTCTATACCTCCAAAATAAATAGAAACAAATAAGTAAATTTTTTTAAATGCATGGAAAATGCCTACACCTGGATTTCAAGAATTTCGTGTACCAAAATAAGCTTATCTTTCCATGTCATTTTTCTAAAAACTTTTTGAAGCCTCTTATATAATACATGTATTCTTTCTTCTAACAAAAGTGATGTTTTAATTATTATTAAGTTAATTATAATTATTACTTAATGCCTATTTCAAAATGCACTATTTCACATAAAAATGAAAACTCAGTCTTTCAAAGATAAACACAATGAATATTTTAGTGTATTTGTATTCTATGAAATTTTTCCTGTATTTTTTATTTATTCATGTTTATTCATATTTATTTTATTTTATTTACTTGAAAAGAAGAATTACAGAGAGAGAGGGAGAGACAAGAGAGCAAGAGAGCAATTTTTTTTTTTTTTTTTTTTTTGACAGGCAGAGTGGACAGAGAGAGAGACAGAGAGAAAGGTCTTCCTTTGCCGTTGGTTCACCCTCCAATGGCCGCCGCGGCCAGCGCGCTGCGGCCGGCGCACCGCGCTGATCCGATGGCAGGAGCCAGGAGCCAGGTGCTTTTCCTGGTCTCCCATGGGGTGCAGGGCCCAAGCACCTGGGCCATCCTCCACTGCACTCCCTGGCCACAGCAGAGAGCTGGCCTGGAAGAGGGGCAACCGGGACAGAATCCGGCGCCCCAACCGGGACTAGAACCCGGTGTGCCGGCGCCGCTAGGCGGAGGATTAGCCTAGTGAGCCGCGGTGCCGGCCTGAGATCTTCCATCTACTGATTCACTCCCCAGCTGTCTACAATAGAACCGGGAGCCAGGAGCTCCATCCAGGTCCCCCACCTGGGGGCAGGGGCCCGAGCACTTGGGCCCTCTTCCACTGTTTTTCCCAGGCCAGTAGCATGGAGCTGGACCAGAAGTGGAGCAACCAGGACTTGAACTGGCACCCATATGGGACACCAGCACTGGAGTTTGGTGGTTTCACCAGCTATGCCACAACACTGGCCCCTCCTGTATGTGTTTTAATGGAGTGATATTATATATATTATTTTGCAACTAACTTTTTGTTAAAGATTTATTTATTTATTTTAAAGAGTTACACAGAGAGAGAAGGAGAGGAAGACAGGAAGAGAGAGAGAGAGAGAGAGATGGGGGGGGGTCTTCCATATGCTGGTTCACTCCCCAGTTGGCCACACAGCCATCCGAATCCAGGAGCCAGGAGCTTCTTCTAAGTCTCCCACGTGTGTGCAGGGGTCCAAGGGCTTGGGCCATCTTCTACTGCTTTCCCAGACCATAGCAAAGAGCTGGATTGGAAGTGGAGTAGCTGAGACTCAAACCAGTGCCCATATCAGATGCCGGCACTGCAGGCAGCGGCTTTACCCACTGCACCACAGCGCCAGCCCTACCACTCACTTTTTTACATACCTTTTTTTCTTCAATTTTCTATGCTGGTGTATATCATTTCACCTTTTTTCTTCACTGCTACACAACAATGCATCAAAAATTCTTCAGAAAGTGGAATTAAAAGATAAGTTATTATTGGCACAAAAATTTTTGAAATTCATGCATGGTTTTCCATCATATGCATTTTCCATGGGTTTTAGGAGACCCCTCATGTGGGTGGTATCGGATGTTGGATTGATTGATTTTATTTTGTTACATATTTGGAGCATTAAAATCAAAGTTTATTGTTATAAACTATGCCTCCCACTCTCCCCTCCCCAATCCTTGCCTTTCCCTGGTCTGACCAAGCACTACTGTAAGAATCAGTTTCTAGAAATGTCATCTCCAGCGTTCGTCTTCCTGGAATCCCAGCCCCCTGTTCTTCTCCACATGCCTGTGCTTTTCAAGGTGTTTTGCAAGTCTGTTATGGGATGACTAATACAAAATGTTTAAAAACATTACTTCTGACTTACGGTTCAACAGCCAGGACTAGGCTGGGTCACGAGAGGAGCCGGGAACTTAATCCAGGTCTCCTGTGTACAACACAAGAATCCAACTACTTGAGCCATCATTACAGTCTCCCAAGGTCTGCATTAGCAAGGAGCTCGAATCAGGAGCCAGAGACAGGTATTGAACCAGGCACCCCCGTGTGGGATGGGAGCATCTTAACCACGAGGTCGAGCAGCCGCGCCTGCCTGCCCCGGTGTCTGTTCTACTGACTGAAACTGTCTGTTGTCTGTACCTGACAGTCTGTAGGAGACACAGGAAGAAAAGAGGAACCAGACAGGTTTTTTGTAGACAGTTCTTTTGCTAAGCCAGAGAGCCTGGATGTTCAACTGTATAATGAGGGTTTATATTTATAAATTATAAGTTTTTAAATAGCTAAAAGAAATACATTGTTATTTTCTCAGAAGCATACTGTGTTTCTCCAACTCTTGTCTTAGTAGGAGTTCATTAAGGAGCAAGGAAGGAGTAGTGAATAAAGAGAAATATGATTTATAATAAGCTACTATCTTGTAAATGCATGAGGGTACTTCAAAAAATTCATGGAAAAACAGAATGAAAACGCAAGTTTATTACGGTGCAAAAATTTTGAAATTCGTGCATAGTTTTTCATAATACACATTTTCCCATGAAATTTTTTTTTTTTTTACAGGCAGAGTGGACAGTGAGAGAGAGAGAGACAGAGACAGAGAGAAAGGTCTTCCTTTGCCGTTGGTTCACCCTCCAATGGCCGCCGCGGCCGGCGCACCACGCCTATCCGAAGGCAGGAGCCAGGTGCTTCCTCCTGGTCTCCCATGGGGTGCAGGGCCCAAGCACTTGGGCCATCCTCCACTGCACTCCCTGGCCACAGCAGAGAGCTGGCCTGGAAGAGGGGCAACCGGGACAGAATCCGGCGCCCCGACCAGGACTAGAACCTGGTGTGCCGGCGCCGCAAGGCGGAGGATTAGCTTAGTGAGCCGCGGTGCCGGCCCTTCCCATGAAATTTGTGAAGATCTCTCATATGCATGGATTTCAGATTTTTTTGCACGAAAACAAACATAAATTTCCATTTTCCATGAAGTTCTTGAAGTGCCCTCCTATACTTCCAAAATACTGAAAATAGTCTCGCTTGTCTTTCAGTTCTTCCTCTTGCAATTTGGCAATTCATGATTATGCTCTGGACTTACTCTAAGAGAAAGGATTTTACTGAGTTAAAGCGAATTTCAACAAAACCACTTTATAAGTGGTGTCAGAATGAGTGGGATTTTATTGTGTAAACCAGCAAGACGTGGTTTTCATTTTACCCAGGACTGTGGCTGTCTTTTCAGGGGGATGCTTGTGATGAAGCTCATGAATTAAAGGAAAAACTCATTGGGGGAATAGAGGTAAGACTGCCCAGTTACACAACCGCAAACAGTGATAACATCGATGATTTGGATCTAAACACAGGACTGAATCTTACCCTGTAATTTGAGGGTACACCACATACTGATCTGTTTCTCCTCTTACTGCTGCCCTCTGGGGCCAACTGGGCTTCTCACCAGTCCAGCCTCCCACCTCCCAGGGCCTCACACCCGTGGCCCCTTTGCTGTCATCCTCCTAGACTGCAGGGTACACATTCTTCTGGGTCTACCTCTGGCTCACCCCTTCTTCCAGAGCTCTCCTGACCTCCCCTAGCCAGACAAAAAAGTGACGCCATTTCCAGATTCCTCCCCCAAGTTCTTGGACATTGGCCTGGATGTGAATGGGTGAATGAAGTGGAGAATGAGCGTGCCTGTGCCCTGCTCAAAGCTGCCTGCTCCCCCCGCCTGTCTAGAAGACGCGCCCACCACCAGACGGCAGCTGCTCTCTCAGATTTCATCCCCTATTTGTTCTTCTCTTTTGAGTGTATCTGAATCTGTGTTAGCTAATGATTAGAAGACTTCCCAGAGATTATGGAAAAATAGAGTTAAAAGATGACTTGACTTTGTGCAAAATATTTTTAAATCCTTGCACAATTCTTTTGTAATGTCATTGTCATAAATCTTTTTTTTTTTATTATTTTTTGACAGGCAGAGTGGACAGTGAGAGAGAGAGACAGAGAGAAAGGTCTTCCTTTGCCATTGGTTCACCCTCCAATGGCCGCCGTGGCCGGTGCACTGCGGCCAGCGCACCGCGCTGATCCAATGGCAGGAGCCAGGTACTTCTCCTAGTCTCCCATGGGGTGCAGGGCCCAAGCACTTGGGCCATCCTCCACTGCACTCCCTGGCCACAGCAGAGAGCTGGCCTGGAAGAGGGGCAACCGGGACAGAATCCGGCGCCCCGACTGGGATTAGAACCTGGTGTACCGGTGCCGCAAGGCAGAGGATTAGCCTAGTGAGCCGCAGCGCCGGCCCATTTTCATAAATCTTATCAAGATCCCTTATGTAGATGGATTTCTTTTTTTTTTTTTTAACCCAAATTAATCTTCAGTGACTGGGTGAATTGCAGGGGGATGAAGATCCAGCCTAGAGGTTAAGAAACCAGACCCTCACTACTCGTATCAGAGTGGCTGGGTGTTTTGATTCCTGGCTCTGGCTCCTGATTTCAGTTTCCGATCAGTGTAGATGCTGGCAGGCTGCGGTGAGGGCTCAAGTAATTGGGTCCTTGCCACCCACATGGGAGCCCTGTATTGAGTTTCTGGCTCCTGGCCTCTACTTGGTCCAGCCCTGGCTATTATGAGCATTTGAAATAAATATAAAAAATTTTCAGAGGATGAGCTGTATTTTTTTTGTATTTGTTTTCAAGAGCTTTGCTTCCAGGAAACCCCTCACAGAGTGAATCAGTGTTAGCACCCCACTTCCAGGAAGACCTACCTAGAGGAGCAGCTGCCTGTTTGCCTCTCTGGTGTCTTACTGAATCCTCAGATATTACTATGCACAGAAATACTTGGGAAGCTTATTAAAAATGCAGAGTAAAAGCCAAAGTCCTTAGGATTTCCCAGCAGGCCCCAAACCCCATGGCCTCCTGTTACTGCCTGATCTCCCCTATTATTTACCATGGCTCTCTTCCTGCTCTGGGCAAACTGCTCTCTCCTTGGTCCTTGACTGCACCCTGTGTGTTGCTGCCTACATGAAGGGCCTTTGCACTGCCACTCCCTGCCTCGTACCCTGTGTACATGCCTCAACCCCTTACTGCCCTGAGCACTTTGCTGAAATGTTGTGTTCTCAGTCAGGCTTGCAACTGGCCACTTCTCCTTTAATTCTTAGAATTCTCTTTACTAGTTATCACTAGTTTACTATAGACTGTTCTTATTGACTTTAATTATTGTCTGTCTCTCCTACTGTAACATTAAGCTCCATCTTTGTCAGGGCCTGGCATACAGATGTACTTAGTAAGTATCACGCGGGTGAATGGACAGATTTCATCTTATCCTCATGTCAGCCTTATAAGTAAATGGTCTCACTCACTCCTTATTATTGTGCCAGCCCTCAGCTGTGAGAGGGAGATGGAGGGATACAGCAGTGACCACGAGACACAAGGGCCCCTCGCTCACTGGGTTCATAGGGTAATGACAGAGGCAAACAAATACACACGGTAGTAACAAAGTCTGGTGAGGCTTGCAAGGGAACGCACAAAGGGCTTTGTACCAGCTGCCTGATCCGTTCAGCTCGGTTGCTTCTCCCGAGGACATCCAGAGGCGGGCGTTAGGAAGAAAATCTGACCCCTGGGGAAGTCAGACTGTTGAGCCCCAGAGCAAAAGGCAGCTGGCCGTTTGGGAGAGTGTGTTCAACACTGCCCTGGGGTCTGCCTCATGGCTGCCGACCTGCACCCCGGGGGGTCTGAGCCCCTTCCCTTCAGGAAGCACACTGCCTGCACTTTGGGATGAGAACGGGGGGCATCGGCCAGGTTAAGGTTCCGCTCTTCCTGGAGAAGAATATCTAAGCATTTAGTCCTCGTTTGAAGCCCAAAGTAGCCTTCTGTCTCTTCCCACCGCCTCGATGCATCTCTCTCAGCTCTGGTCTCACACAACATGCACTGGGAAGACGTTCAGGAAGGAAGGATGGAAGGATCTTAGGGTGAAAAAGCTTCCTTTCAGTGCCCATGGCTCCAGGCGCATCAGCTGGGGCGGATTCAGGTGGCCGGTGGGGCAGTCGCCCACTGCTCGTGGTGCAGCCTCCTGCAGCAGGTCTCACTTATCCAGGCTCCCAAGGGCCCGTGCTCTGTAATACCGCCCTCACGTGCACCGTGTCCCGTGTGAAGCCTGTCACTGCCATCATCCCCAGGTTACAGGGAAGCACCCTGAGACTGCCTGGCACGGGCTCAGAGAGCTCTTGTTCAGCCCTGACATGATGATTGACTACATTGTCTCCTCATTCTGGCCAGAGTTTTGGAAAAATCTCTGTGTTAGATGGCAGAACTGCTGCTCCCTTCTCTCACCAGGGGATAACTGCTTCCTAGGTGGGGGAGTCCACCCCGAGGTCTGAAGTCACACCTTGCTGACGGATGAGAAGGGAGTGGAAACGTGCTGTGCTAGGAAGAACTACAAGGGCAGAAAGTCATTTGTCCATGGTTCCAAGCAGCCGGCACTAAACCCCACGTGTGTCTTGGCTAACGCCAGAACTTAGGCAAAAACGGAGGGGGCACGTCTGGGTGACCCTGGCCGGGCAGGTGGTATGTTCAGGCCCCTTTCCCGACAGACCCCAGCATGCCAGATGGATTTCAAAAATATTTTTTGGCAGGGAAATCAACTCTTCCTTTAATTTTGTTTCCATGAACCTTTTGAAGTCCTTGTGTGTGTGTGTGTGTGTGTGTGTGTGTTGTCACTTTTCCCCCAGATCCCATACGGGCACACATCATAGATCACATGTTCCTTTTTTATTTTGTTGGGCATAGTATCCTGGAGCAGTGCCCAGTAGGCAGTAGCCATTCGGTAAATAGGTTCACGTAGGTAAGCACATTGAATGGATGAACGCAGTACAAGGTTTCTTCCCACGTGAACAGCCTGGCAGTTAAAAGGTAGCAGGTGGGTTTTCATTCAGGGCCTTGGTGCTACACGGTGGGAACTTCTCAGTCTCCCAGGGAGGGTGGGAGACCTCGATGGCATGCCGGTGATGTCTTCACATGACCCAGGCGTGACTTGTAACGTGGGCCTAAGGTGTTCAGAGGAAAACGCTCCGTATCATCTACAGTAAGCCTGGGCCACATTGAGAATCTTTTTTAAAAAACAAGATAGTTGGTCGCCCTTTTTTCTCAGAACTTTTGTAAGGACATGACCCTGCTGAACAGTAAGCTGGGGATGTACCAGACCCAACAAGGGAAAACAGACTCGGACAGCTCGGAAGAAACGAGCGTGGAAGGAAGAGAGCAGAGGCTTCCACAGGCTCGGCCTCCCGCCGGGGTGCAGAGTGCACCTGCCCAGGTCACGGCGTGGTGAGTTGAAGCAGGGGCAGAGGGGCAGGGCCGGCGGGCGGGACACGGGCCAAGGGGCTGGGCTGAGGTGAGGCGGACTGTGCGCGGATGTTGTCTGCAATTTGGTTTTCTTACATAGTCATTTCTGCTCTTTTCAAGTCCGTTAAAGAGTTCTGGAGTTTTCCTTCTATTTTAAATGCAGGTCTATTGCAAGATAGATATTGATGGCTTTCTTACTGCATTAGATAAATGAATTTATATTTTATCTAGCGTCTATCATCGTAAACACTGGGATCTAAGGAAAACATCCCCACTAGGCCAGTTTAAAAAGATCTGCTAGGCACGGTGCCTTGCCCCTGGACAGTGTTGGAAGTACACGGCAGACATTCTGACTGAGTGCCTTCCAGGAGATGCCAGAACCGTCATGGCCACCCCGAGTGGTGCCCCCCCCCCCACAAGGAAACTCCTGATTCTGCATCTCCGACCACCACCTTCGGCAGAACCTTGAGCTCCACACCAAGCCTTTTATTGTGTTTTCAAATGGAGTCGTCTGCCCTTGTGTTCCTGAGTTGAACACGTGTGCACTCTGTACCTTGTGCGTGATTCTGTCTCCTCCTGACTCTCTGTGGGGTGCAGAAGGCAGGCAATCTTGTCTTCATCCTTCTGGACTTGACTTAAAAGGTGCTCATACGAACCCACAAATGTCCAGTTGATAAATAAGGGAGGCGAGAATGGCGGAGCAGAATCTTCAGAACACTTTTATCTTCCATAAAATAAGAGGGCAAGAGATGGGAAAATTGTTACAATCAACTTTTTTTCAGAATTATACAAATTGAGGCTTTTAAGAAATTATTTATTTTGAAAGAGTTACAGGGAGAGAGGGAGGGAGAGATCTTCTGTCCGTTGGTTCACTCCCTAGGTGGCTGGGGCTGGGCCAGACTGAAGTCAGGACCTGGAGCTCCATCAGGACCAGCCTCTTACCGACGCGGGCTCTGGGAGGCAGCACTCATCTCTCACGTGCTTGGGTCCCGGTCACACGTGTGGGAGACCTCAACCCTGGCCCAGCCCAGGGTTTTCTGGGCACCTGGATGGGAGCTTCTGTCTGTCTCTGTCTTTGTTTCTATCTCTTTGGGTTTTAAGTAAATAAAAGTAAAAAACTTAAAAAAAAAAAAAAAGCCAACAAGGGGTCCATGTTGTGGCACAGCAGGTTAAGCCACTGCCTGCAATGCCAGCCTGCCAAATCTGAGCTCTAGTTCGAGTCCTGGCTGCTCTGCTTCCAGTCCAGTTCCCTGCCAATGTGCCTGGGAAAGCAACAGAAGATGACCTAAGTGCTTGGGCCCCTGCACCCCTGTGCAAGGCCTGCATGGAGTTTCTTCAACCTGGCCCAGTCCTGGCCATTGTGGCCATTTGGGGGTTGAACCAGCAGATGGAAAATCTCTCTCTCACTCTGCCTGTCAAATAAATAAATCTTTAAAATAAAAAACCCACAATCTGATCCCACTTTGTATCCACTAAAATTATTATAACAAAAAAGGCAGACAAGCCGGCGCCGCGGCTCACTAGGCTAATCCTCCATCTTGCGGTGCGGGCACACCGGGTTCTAGTCCGGGTCGGGGCGCCGGATTCTGTCCCGGTTGCCCCTCTTCCAGGCCAGCTCTCTGCTGTGGCCCGGGAGTACAGTGGAGGATGGCCCAAGTGCTTGGGCCCTGCACCCTATGGGAGACCAGGAGAAGCACCTGGCTCCTGGCTTCGGATCAGCACAGTGCGCCAGCCACAGCACGCCAGCTGTGGCGGCCATTGGAGGGTGAACCAATGGCAAAGGAAGACCTTTCTCTCTGTCTCTCTCTCTCACTGTCCCCTCTACCTGTAAAAAAAAAAAAAAAAAAAAAAAAAGCAGACAATCATAAGTGTTGGGAAAGAAGTGGCACAGTTGCACTTAGGGAAACAGTTTGCCAGTTCTTGTTGGAGTTACCATATCACTGAGCAGTCCAACATGGGGAGTAAGTGCACAGTGGCTCCTGTTGTTGATTTAACAATTGACACTCTTATTTATGATGTCAGTGATCACTCGAGGCTCTTGACATGAGCTGCCAAGGCTATGGAAGCCTCTTGAGTCCACAAACTCCGTCCGTCCCCTGAGCTTTCATTTGCTTTTAGAGGCCTCTCCTGTGACCAACCACAAACAGAATGAAAGTTTTGGAAAAGATTAAAGGTTTTATGCACAGCAATTTTATGCATAGAAATTTGAAAACTTCTAAGTAGTATTCAAAAATTTAAAGTATAGTTTTATTCTTTATAAAGGATAAATTGAAACTATTAATGACACTGATGTTTGGTTCTGTGCATGTGATATTGTGATGTTATTGTGTGATTTTTATTTAGCCAATGCAAGATTTCTTGAAAAGGAGTATGTCTCAAACTTTAAAAGCGATATTAATTTGAAAGGCAGGGAAAGAGAGTTCTTGCATCCACTGGGTACTACCCAGATGTCTGTAACATCTGACATGGGGCCAGGTTGAAGCCAGGAGCCGGCCTGGGACTCAGTCCAGGTCTCCCATAAGGGTAGCAGAGACCCAGATACTTGAGCCATCACCTGGCTCAAGGATATGCGTTGTCAGGAAGCTGGACTTGGGAGCAGAAGGGGGACTCAGACTTCGTCTGAACCTTTTAAAACCAATATTATACATGTCTTTATTTGCTTAATAATAGAAAGTTTAATTTCTTAAAAAGTTGTCATATTGATTTGCAAATAAAAATCAAATGGTTCAGTACTGTCAAGAAATGTTTCCAATCCAGCTTCCTGCTAACGTGCCAGCGAGGCAACAGATGCTGCTCCAAGTGGATGGATTCCAGCCGGCCCCGTGGAGACCAGATGGAGTCCTGGTTCCTGACTTTGGCTGGCCCAGTTCCAGCTCTTGTGGCCATTTAGGAAGTGCAGTAGCAGATAAATGATCTCTCTCTTTCTCACTCTGCCTTTCAAATAATTTGCAAAAAGGAAAAAAACAAAAAAAAAGAAAAAAGAAAAAGCATTGATTATTTAATGTGCATGTAAAATAATTTTTTTATGCAGTTGCCAAGAGATGGCTGGCGGAGATAACATCACAGCATGGCTCAGGTGTAGGGAGCCTGCTGAGTGAGGTCACAAGGCAGAGCTACCCTGATGGATTGCCCTGGATGTTTGCCTCTGAAGTGTACTGTAGATGGCAATTATCTCCAGCTAATTGGATTATCTGCAGCATTTCTTTGCTTCTTGATGTTTTTCTGGATTTTCCAGTTTTTCTACCCTAATCACAGATTGCATTTATAATTAGAAAGTAACAAGAATGCAAGGACTTAACCTTAAATTAAAACAAACATACACACACACACACACACCCTAGTATAGTCCCAAAAGAGGAGCGCTGAAGGATTTGAAAGACATAATATTGCTTTAGGGGAGAAAGGCCAAGACTGGGGCAGAGAGCACTTAATTTCGTGTGTCACATTGTATTTTGTGTCCCCTCCAAAAATATAAATGCCTGACCTCTATTATAAGCTCTCAAAGAGGTTTGACACACCCCACCAGCAAGCTGAAGATCAGACTGAGCTGCTAGAAGGAGAGGGGGTTTCGAAAGAAACAGCCCCTCAGAATCCAGGGTTGCATTGTTCCCTGGTTGTCACATCTTGGAATCCCAGTGCCAGCCTAGCACAGACCTGAGTATCCATCCGGTCCAGGCTCCTGTTCAGCTGAAAGCTGAGGTCGGGACAAGGTCCGAGGCTGAAAGCCCTGGAGCTTCCCCAGGGGCAGGCAGCAGCGCCGTCTAAGTGGTTAACACACGGGTTTTCTTCCCTTGTAGGAAACGTGCCCTGAGAATCTTCATCATGGTGTACGTGCTCACCTTCACTGGGATCTCGTGTTACATACTGTTTTTTGACGCTACGTTTATCTTCGAAAGAGTGCTCCCTACGGTGCTGGGGCGGCACACCGTGTGGGAACTCCGGGAGATCATTGCGCCCTTCCTGAATTTGGAAGTGGAAGACTTGTTACCCTCCTAAAGGGACAGAAGCTACTGCTACCCTCTGACTTTCTCAATAAAATCCTGGACGTTCCTGAGTCCTGGTGCTTAACTTGTTTTTTCAAAAATGATCTACACGGTTTCGTAGAGGACGTTGTGGTTGGGTTCACCGAAAAAAATCAACAGTGTATCTTTCCTCTTGGGATTCACAATGATTTGTTGAAAAATTCCACATGTTGTTGAACACAAATCCTTCAAACCGCCAGCCTTCCTACTTCCTCAAATGTCAGCAACCTGGGTTATAACCCGTCTCAAAAGAGAAAGCGCAGAATTCCCATGTATCTGGGCTGAATGGATGTTTCTTGTGTCTCCTTCACACTCATTTCTCCTTTTGGTAATGGCATTGTAATTCTTTGGAAGAACTCTCTTTACCCAATGAGCATAATTATAGGTGCTGTTTTGGTCAATGCCCCCTCTTCCTGTTAGCAAGAGTTGGGAATACATTGCCTCTGAAATTCTCTAAGAATGAGGACTTTTAAGAAGAGTCAGGTAAAAAATGGGAATGACTGGAGCATTGATTTTGTGAATGGGTCTGTAACTTTTCTGTTTAAATAAGCCACTGTCGGTTCTGTCGCTCACTGTCAAAGCTCCCTGATAGGGTGGAGATTGTGAATACTACTAGCCCAGGGTGTTTTAGCTCTGCCTTGTAGGTGATGGAGAAATGCCTTTGTGTCTTATATGAAGAATAGTTGCAGTGAACTGTGCAAGAGCGGCTGTTGAGCAGGAGGGTGGATGGGGTATAAGAGGTTGGCTGAAGGTCATTCGGGGCCCCGGGAAGGCCAAGGGGGTGGAGCTGGGGATGAAAGGAGGTGACAGTGCTGGCAGCCGTGGTGAAGGTGGACCTCATGGCATTTGGTTGTGTAATAGCCGTGGGACTGCGAGGGTCATGGCAGAGAGAGGTGGAATATGGTCCTGACTTCTTCACAACTGAATGGATCTTGCAGGATCGGTAATATTCTCATGGCA